ACAAATGCAAACGAAACCACCGCGCGCGCGGTAGTTTCGTTTGTCCCTATTGACGTCGACCTCCCTTCAGCCACCATCTCTTCTACTTGAAATCTGCTATGGACTCTGACACATCCAGTTCGGCTCACGTGGTAAACTGTCTGTACTAATTCCACTCTCACTAAAGCAAGCACTTACACTGGTTCACCCCTTTCAGGTCCTTCAGAATGCCGTGCTGTCTCACCTGTGTTCTCAGCCTTTCCTTGGGCCACACCACATGTTGTACAAGTGCCAAAGCCTTTGGCTGACTTCACTGAAATAATGTCACCTCACAAGGTACTTTATTTCTCTGTGGCCTCGATTGTAACTTAACAGACTGCTTTCAGCACTTCATCAATTCGCTAAATCGATTTGAGCGCTCGCTCTTTGCCTTTGATAAACTTGCGGTCGATTCTAACGAATTGGCACCGCTTCTAGGCTTAGATGTCCTGAAAGCATCCAATGCGGTCACCCTACATCCAACGGCGACGACTGCATCATCAAAGGGGGAGTACAAAACCCTTGCTTCCATTGTTTCTGCATATCGAATGTTTGAGGTCTTGGCTCTTGACTGCGAAATTGGTGTTTCACAACCTCCCATTCGCCTGCTTCCCCCCTTGTCTTTCAACAAGTCTGAGCAGGATAGTGAAAAGATTGTTGTACGTTGATTTATATATATTCTGATCCTCAAGTTAATTTTCCTTGCTTGCAGGGTTTTGACAAACTAGAAAATTGGCCCAAAGTTCTGCTTAACTTCCGGAAACTTATAGGTCAGTCAGGACTACCTCAAATTCCTGACGACCTCCATGCAGGAAGCAAACACCTTGCTCTCCTACGGATGGCAAGCAAGAACAAAGAGAAAGTAGCATATGTGAATGTGGTCGACAACTTTCTTCAAGCTGCTCTGCATCTTTACTACCTCAAGATGACCCAATTCCGAGATGGGTCTCTGCCTGACTATCCTGATATTTTAAATGACCGTCTCCAGTGCATTAGACTCATGTCACATTGATATCCGATACTCATATCTCTCAGCATCTTCAAAGATGAGACCTCTACAGATGAATTCATCAATGATCAAGAGGAGGGGACTTACTACTTGCAAGATTTACGTGATGGAGAGACAGCTTCGCACAGCCTCCACCAACTTGGGACACCTCTGCAATTAGCACTGCTCCTGACTCCTTTCTATTTGCTCTTTCCATTCAGGATAATCACCAGGTCCTATAATCGTCGACTTTGAGGCTGTTGTTCTTCGGCCTGGTGATGAACTGTGAGTGTTGTGTTGATAATCATGGCATTATCTCATGATATTGCAGTCATATGCTGCCCAATTCTGCACATTGGGTATATGGCATAGATGATGTGATTGCACAGGGCGGCCATTACTATTCCTCTTATCTTATGCAGGAGACTCTGCAAGGCATTGTACATGCCTTTGTTCTCAACAAGTTCTTGACGAACACGGAGCATATTCCCTCTCGTCACCTATTGCGGAGGATCCTGATCTTCTACCAAGTTGGCCTCATTGAGGGTGCCATCTCTGAAGACGGTGAGATTCGCCCCTCATTGTTTATACCTTTGACTCATTTCCACTTGCAGATCCTGCATTGGTTCATCTACCTAACGTCGAGACAATGGAGGGCGTGCTTAACATCATCTGTCTTGCAGTCCTGATTATACTTGGCAACGTCCTGGATTTTAGGACTTACAGCACTCCAAATCAAGGGGAAGATGATGAAGCCTCTCCTACCCAAAGAACATTGATGGACACCGGTGACATCAATGCCATTCCCAACAATGAACGAATCGCGTATTGCTATGCTCGTGGTGTTGCTTTACACATCCT